GGTAGGGTTGAAATCTCATTAGCACCCTCTCAAGCGATTGGGAGAGGTAGGTTAAAAGTACTTGGTTTGTTTCTTTACTTTAATTCATTAACAGTGGGACGATTTTAGCAAATACATTTTGTATTTTAATATACCTTACACACGTATCATGATGCAATAATAAAGTGGTATATTAGAACGAATTAGTACAAAAACAGCTGTTTTTATTTTGTCATCAAATTTACAGAAGCGAATATTATATGTTTTGCTTCGACCAAGGTATATTTAATAAGGTAGCCGCATCGGCCCAGCTGTTGGACAAATAAATGTCAAAAATGTTGTTGTAATGTTGAACCAAAAAATTAAAAAACAAAATTATGAATGAAAATCTCCGAATTTCGAAGAGCTTTTGGCAATACTTTTATTAATATTTTCTACAAGAATTTGTGTAAAAAAATCTTGTCAATCTGTTTGTTTTGGCAAAATATTTTTGACATATCAAAATACAACAACCGATGTTTGTTGTAGAAATTCGCCGATGCGGCTACCTTGTATATCTACCTTGGCTTCGACAGAAACAAATTGCGGCGAAATTGTAAATATCGACATTAGTTTCGTTCGTTTTCTCAATAATTTGTATAAATTATTGCAAAATGTTGTTCGTTTACCCAAAAGTCCAGGAAAGGGAGTGATCTGAGAGAAAAGATTTGGCAATTGTGTTACTGAGTATTTACAAATTCTTACAAGGAAAATTTTCTTGTACCATCAGCTGATATTTAATCCACTGTTTTGTTAAGTTTTGGAAACAAAAAACAAAATTGTTCTCATGCAAATTGACTGTTTTGGGCATGGTACACTTATTCAAGGTAGGGTAGCTTTTGTCAGAAAGGGGAAAATATACCTCTACCTTATGGGCAATAATGTTAGAATAAATTAAAACAAATGCAACAAGTCATTCTGTTTATTTGACATATTCTTAACATTTTGCCAAAAATGCGAACAATTAATGGAAAGGGGAAAATATACCTCTACCTTATGGGCAATAATGTTAGAATAAATTAAAACAAATGCAACAAGTCATTCTGTTTATTTGACATATTCTTAACATTTTGCCAAAAACGCGAACAATTAATGGAATGTTAGGCTTTCTTTTCAAAATCGAGTTGGGGATATGATTTACATATTGATTCATTCACAAATCACTAATTTCTTCTTAAAATTCATCTCCAAACAATCCATGCCCAAAGATTGGAACCTCAGCATCATTTGTCCCATGTACAAAGAAGGAGGAGCTTCAGACCTGACAAATCCTCCATAGACCAGATTTGCACGCTGCGCCAAGTCCTGAAAAATACCCATGAAAAGCACATTGACACATTCCACTTATTCGTCGTCTATAAAGCTGCAGCATTCGACAGCCCTATCCATTCAAAGGTGTTTAAAGACATGTCTGCGTTTGACATTCCTGCAAAATTAATACGGATATGCATGATAACATTAAATGGGCGAAGGTCAGCAGTTAAAGTCGGAAAGCACCTCTCGGAGTCATTCAATACCGAACGAGGATTCAGACATGTTGACAGTTTGTTGTGTGGCCTTTTTAACATCCTGCTGGAATGGTCATACGTGAGGCAAATGTGAACAGAAATGGCACCCTGTACCCCAAACAACACATGTTACTCGCATACCCCGATGACATCGATATAATGGGTCGAACATTGCGAGCGGTATTAGCCACCTTTGAAAAATTGAGAATGAGTCTGCCAAAGTGAGTATGACAGTAAATGGTGAGAAGATCAAGCTGACGCGCAAGACGTCCAGTAGACTCAGACCAACTGTGGAAATTGAAAACTACAGCTTCGACGTAGTGAAAGGTTTTATATACCTCGGTATCGCCATAAATAAAACTAATGGCATCAGTTTTGAAACTCGGAGATGGATGGTGTTGGCCAACAGATGCTACTATAGTCTGAGTAAGCAGAATAGAAACCAGGTCATACTATTCGTGTTGTTATAAGCGTACTCGACTGTAATTGTTTTCTGTTTCTAATGCCAAATCAGTATATCTTCAAGATGCTGAAAATATTAACACAAAACTTTGTGTTTTTAAAAATGGCCCAACAGGAAATGGCCTCACACATTTGATTAACTCACACTGCTAATTGGGAAAGTTTTTGAAAGCAAATTTTTTCTTAAGAAAATAACTCGTAATTTCCATATGTGATACAAGTAGCAATGACTCATGTTTTTTTTTCAATTTACTTTGGAGATTTCAAAATATGACGTTTTGAAAATAAATATTTCTTATGTTTTGATTAAATGGCGTTGAAATTAGTATTACTGCATCGTTTGTTGTACAATACTTGTTGTTACCTTATATTTGGTATGTTCCCGTACTGCAAGAATCTACTAATTTCTACTATTTTTCGATATCATTAAGTTATCGTAATAAAAATTTAAAAATTCTTGCAGTACGGGAACAGACCAATTATTTTACCGTGACAGAAAGGCAGCCGAGATATACAAACACCAGACATTTTCACAGTGTTCAGCTTTTACATGTGTAATTATACATTACAGAGGATCACCAACGCAAATTGTCTGTTCCCGTACTGCAAGGATCACCAATACAAATTGTCTGTTCCCGTACTGCAAGATTCTACCAATTGCTACTATTTTTTTACAGTACAGTACAGTATAACCCGGTAAAATGTTATAATGTAATTGCCGTTTAAACAAATTTGTTGTATTTGGGGTTCTAATAATGCTCAAGAAATATAAGATAAGCCATTACATCAAGAAAAGTCACAGTTTGGTTCGGTTTTTGATCCGTAGGTGTGATTGGTCCTTACTTCTTCAAAAACGACGACTATTAGTGGAGCATTACGGTCATATGATGACCGATTTGTTGTCTGCTATAGAATACCACTTGAAAAATATATGTTGTTTGAACCATGGTACAAAAATTCAACGTAGGCTGTAGCGACTTGTAATTGTTTTGTGTTTTTAGTGTTTTTATCAAATGAACAAAACAACTATAGTCCACAAGGTAGCGGTGTATTTGATCACACGAGCCATCAACGTCATATGTAATTTTGCATCTGTTAAAAATGAGGTGACAATACATAATTAATATTTTTTGTCCAGGGACCTCTTTATTTTTGTATGTATTTTCATATGAAAACCAAATAAATCAGCTGTTTTGTTTGTCTGGGAAATGAAAATGCATTTCTGATAGAAAATAACTCGACGAATTGAAGTTAAATTGGTGGAAGGAAAAAATTATATAAACATATGGCCTGTTCCCGTACTGCAAGAATCTACTACTTGTTACTACGATAACGAATTTTCCTTTATGATATCGAAGAAAATAGTAAAATCGGGTAGATTCTTGCAATACGGGAACAGACCAATACATATACACGTGTTTTATGTTCACATGTAAAAAATGTATGTAAAGTACAAATTTTTAATTACATACATACAAAATGTCGTATGTACAGAAAAACTGACAGTACATATGATGTTTATGGCTCATGTATATTAAATAACACCGAAATGAAAGGTAATCCGGTAGGAAAATTTTTACCCAGACCCAACTTATTCCGTAGACAATTTACAAAACAAAAATAAATAAAAATATAAGGGATTCTATTACAAATATCTTATAACTACTAAAACACATACATATATGACATGACCTACGACTACAAAATCCAGACATAGGGGGTCTACGATCCAAAACGATCCCAGTCTTACTCGGACAATGTCTGTCACCCCAACCCATTGTGTAAAAGCAGTAGGGTTATACAAAATTCATATATAATAAAGGTATATCAAGTAACATTATTCATTATTTTAATTTAAGATGTTTATTTTAATTATTATAACACAAAAAACACTATAAAATGTACAAAATAATCACGTGATATTTCCACAATGTCGAGTGACATCTATAATTCCATTTACACACTAAACAAATACCTGTTACACCAATGCAACTGTGTATTTCCTCTGACATTTGATTCACAGCATTGAGCTTTTGTATACCTAACCGCATGTCAAACAAATTTAACAGCCATCTCTTTTTAGCTGCCAACAAAATAGAACGCTCAAATCACTAACCGTCTCCCTCTAAGTTATATCAAAAAAGAACAACAACAAACAACGAACAAAATAAATTACTTGCATAGAAAGAAAAAATGTAGTTGTAAAAACGCGCGGAAAAGTAATCACAGAGAATACCAAACAATACAAAACCCACAACAAGGAAATCTCAAAACATTTGCCTTAACATTTTTGATAAAAACTTTATACAAACGGCCAGCGGTCCGGCGAAACATTTCCTCCAATCCAATCTCCTACTGGTTGAAACGAAGACGACGACAACGGTGCTTGTTGGTTGGCTTGACACGGGTAGGTTACGTGCGGTTAGAAGCGAGGCAGGTCAGGCGAAAGAGAAATACATTGGCAAATCGACCGATGGAATGGAAATAACAAAAAGACCAGAGTGAAGAATAGTGTAATTAATGATGAACACAAAAATAAAAAATGAGAAACAACAACAAAGAAAATAAAAACATTTCGAAAAGAAGGAAGTTCTATTAAAAATTTGTTCAATTCTCCCATTTCAGATTTGGGCGGAAAAATAATCTGGCGAGACATCGGCAAAACTAAAGACTATTCTTTGTGAAGAAGAAAATCCTACGCAAGTTTTTTAATCATCATTGCCATCAGACGTTATTGTGATAGAAAAGATTTTCTGGCGGTCTATTGCTGCTGTTGCGGATACGCGGTAACACAAAGTCAAAACTGACGTTCCATTGTCATTGTGGCGACGATCAAAAATTGTCCTCAACTACATGTTTGTTGCATTGTTGTGATTGATATTTTTATATGATTGTTACTACTTCGTGATTGGAATTACCACAAATTCTCTAGACAGAATTTCCGTAGAGCGGCAGTGGTGGTGGTGGTCGTGCCCATACTTATCTCTACTGACAGCCGTAGTTACACATAGACAAAATGGTGCGCCGACGTACGCGCGCCTGTGCCACTTCCAAGGCGCCTGTTGAACTCATGGCAAATGGTGGCTCTGCTGCAGCTGTCCTGGCCAATGCCGCCCAACTGCTAGAGGACCAATACTTTGCCAGTCCCAAAAGGAAAAATTGCAAAGCGGAAGAATCTGCCTGTGATGAAGGAGGTCGTAGCAGTGCCAGCTCATCTCCGACAACAATTCAGACCGAAAATGCTATTGCTCACAACAGAACTAAACACAAATCGACCAGTCCCAATAAAGGGAAGGGTGGCATAAATGGGCGCACAATTGGTAAGTTTTGTGGATTATCAACATAAATGCTTTATAACTGGTACATATATTAGTATTGTCACTCACACAGAATGATGTCGTGCAGCCATCAACCAAACCCGCCATCACCACAATCATTAAAAGATTGTCTCAGTGCTTGTGGTATATCATTACTACTAGTTGCAACGAATGCCATAACCTCAATCTTTTTTTGTATTGACTTTTGACTTCGCTTGGATAGAGGGGAATACGATTCGTGTGTGAGTGTGTCAGTGGATGTGTGTGTGTATTGTTTGTATGGAAGTGTATATTCGCGTTTGTTTCTAAACATTGCAACAGTCGAAACTTTTTCTTCTACAAAGAGCTACACAAAAGAATGCAGAAAGCTCTGCAATTTGGTAGTTTTTTCGACGATTGTTTTTCTGTGTAAAAAATTCGTAGTTCAAAGCCTGTTTTTGTTATTTTTGTTAAAAGTACAAAAAAGTTGTTAATATTAATAATTGCTGTTGTAGTTTATTACAGGAAGATACTCTCTGTGAAAAGGTTATCAATTTGCAAACAATTGATGTGTGTACAGTAGATCAAAGTATTCAGCTCTTGCTTGTACATCTGTTATACTAAATGATTGCGCTAGACCATTCCAGTCAGTATGTGTATTTAACCCCTTTGTCTAAGCGTAAAAAAATGGTTGGTAAAGAAAAAATTACATCATCCTTGACGAGATCGTTTGATTCGAGAAGAGAAACGAATGATTTTGGGAGTTCTTGACTGCAGGGCATTTTTTTTTTTCTTTCTGTAACATATATGCCCTTTTTGGCCAGCAAATGTTTGTCAGGACCCTATAAATTATAATATTTGCTAGATCCAAGTCAAATACTACGTCTTTCTCTAGCATTCAGAGACCCATACCTCCTACATGTTTTAACAATTTTATACAAATTGGAGATGAGCCCCTAAACTCAACTGGCTTATTAATTTTGTTCGTATGATATTTGATATTTCTCATTGATTTCCTAATTCTGTTTTATTGATAATTTCCAATGGATATGACTGGTGATATATGTCTGAATGCTATAAAATTCCCATAAGCGACACTAACCGGTTTTATGAATTTTGCCGAAGTTTCCAAAGTACTTGAAATAAATGTATAAGTCAATAGAATGTTCAAATCGTCCCTGTCAAACCTACTCAACTTACGCCAGAAGATCTGTGGCTGTAGCTGCATTTCTTAACTTGGAAACCAGGCCACAAACAGATTGAATCAAACTAGAAGAATCATACGCATATAAATCCGTTAAAACAACAACAAGTCATTCAAAAAGCTAACGCTTTGGGTGACTTTTTTACTGCTGAAATTTTCAACAAGAGGTTTCGAATAGGTGTTCACAAAATTGGCCACCGAGATCATTTGATGTAACACCTTACAAGTTTTTCCACGTGGGCTCCCGTTAATGATCGGGTCAACTTCAATAGTCTAATGTTGATTCGAGACCTCACATATAGAATCTTACTGGCTTTGGCGACGTTAGGGAGCAACTTTGCGATTTGCATATGCAAAGGGCATAGTTCTGTAAGCTTGATCGTGCTGGTTATTCGGCCCATTTTTTTAATCCGATTTTTCGAAAAGAGATACATTAAACTGTGGAGGTAACTTCTCGATGGACAACTGATGGACTGGTCCTCATCTCTATGTATAAATCATTATTTTGAACCAGTAGGTGCCAAAGCTTTTTAAACTCAAATCCATGTTTGAAGAAAAAGCTTGCAAAATTTTGGCCAAAAGTGAAAAGCCTGTAATTATGCCAATTATGTCAAAGATCAACATGTTCTCGTTGCACGCTGTCCTGGGAGTCATTCAAACCATCATATGCAGATTTATTATGTCATTATCCGATACTAAAAAAAGATGTTTAATCTCCACTATAACTGTCCATTTCATATATTTAAATTTATTTTTTAAATGCTGATCTGTTTATCATTTTCTTCAACTATCTGCATAGTCTAAGTTTCTTACATTCACGTCTTGATTTCGGCGAATTATTTCTATATGGCATACATAATAAATATATGCACTTGTTAAGGATTTTCTGAATCCTATATTGAGTGGCTATAGAAGTGAAAAATTATTTCAGATGAATATTCTTTTACATTATTTTTAGACCATTTAAAAATAACCATTTCAAAAAAGTTAACTTTTTTGTATCTATCTTCTTTTGCAGGTGTCCCCCTTGCTACACGCTCCCAAACACGTACCATTGAAAATTTCTTTAAAGCTAATGCTGCCAAACAGAACAAAATCACCAGCTATATGAATGGTCACGATGACTCCAAAAATGCAGATACTCCAAAAACTATACAACAACCATCGCTATCTGCATCGGTAACACCGCCACAAATGACCCAACAACAACAGCAACATATTGAACAGCAAAAACGTCAAATTAACGGTGATCACAACTACCAGCAACAACAACATCAGCATCAACAATTGCCACCCGTTATCAGTCGACGTAGTTTAGATCACATTGTAGTACCACAAGAATTTATATTCGATTTAAGTGAAGACACCAATGACAGTGAACATACCGATATGTCAGATGAGGCTGCTGCTATGTTCCATACAGATAATGATGCCGGGCAAACAACAACTCCAATGACAAATGGCCTTGACTTTACAACACACCGTTCATCACAACGTTCCGATAGTCATTCATCGTCACACAGTAGTTCAAATACCAGTGGCACCGATAACATATTCCTGCAGGAGCCTGTCTTGACTCTCAACGTGGATAAGTCGCCGAATCAAGCCTCGTCCATAGTAATAAACAAAACACTCGAAGTACAACCAAAATTCTCTTCACCAAATCAAGCCAACAAATCACTTGAAGTTCAAGCGAAATTTCCGTCGCCAACCTCTTTATCTGCCTCTGTCCTGCATGGACGCTTTAATCAAATTGTATCGTTAAATACATCGCCGACAAAAGATGTTGCTGGTAGCTATGAAAAGAAATCGATGGAATTGAGTTGTCATGATTATGCTTTATTGATGATGCCCGAAAATGACAATAGTTCCTGCGACAGTGGCGTGGCATTCCATACCACTGTTACCACGACACCACAATGCAATGGCACCACTTCCACAACAGAGGGACCTGTAGATGGTTCTATGCAGACAGTGGTATCGGCAATAGCCTCACCAGCACCAGCTGCCGCAGCAACGAACCGCCGGCGTAAACCAGCAACACCTCATCGCATTGTCTGCTGCCCATCACCAATTAAATCACAGCCAAGAGTTAACTCACCAGCCGGTTCTCCATCGCCACGTAAAATGGCCTCGGCTCTCTCACCTCGCAAGTCACAAAGACACGTAACTACAACCGCCATGGCAGCAGCTGGCGGTGGAGCTGCTGTTGTAACGGCACCCAACAAAACAAGACGAAGACTGAATCCATCGCCTCCTAAAGAACAACAATCTGCCTTAGACGCCGAATCAAATCGACAGGACGATGAGCCCGTTGTTGTTATTGTCGACGATGACCATGACGTTGGCGTCGAAGATGACCATGACGTTGAATGTGAGAATATGGCCGCAAACACAGTCGATATGAAGTTAAACAATCCTCCTCCGCCATCGCTTATGAATGGCAATGTGGGTGCGACGGCGAAGTCTATATTGAATTCAGCCAAACATCCCACAAATCAACAGAATGCCACCAACAATAAGGGGCGAGCGACAAAAGCTCAACACAAAACCAAATACACTGTTCAGAGGCCTCAGCACACAGCTCTCAAATATCAAGCACCCCAGCCGTTGGCCGCCACAAATGGCAATCGTGAAATAAACGATTGCTTCCCGGTGCGGCGAAGTGTGCGCAAAACAAAAACTGCCGTCAAGGAGGAAATGATGCGCAACCTAGAACAGGCGATACTCGAAGAACGCTGTGAAGGCCTTAAAATTGCCTACTTCGAGGGCAAGGGACGCGGCATTATTTCAGAACGACGATTCCAGCGTGGCGAATTCGTCATCGAATATGTGGGTGATCTCATCTCGACCGCTGAGGCAGCTGAACGCGAGAAACGCTATGCCTTAGACGAAAACGCTGGCTGTTATATGTACTATTTTAAGCACAAAAATCAGCAGTATTGCATAGATGCCACAGAGGACACAGGGAAACTGGGGCGTCTGGTAAATCATTCTCGCAACGGCAATCTAGTTACCAAAATTGTGGTGGTCAAACAGAAACCTCATTTAGTTTTAATAGCCAAAGATGATATTGAAGCGGGAGAGGAACTGTGTTACGATTACGGTGATCGTTCAAAAGAATCGTTGTTACATCATCCGTGGTTGGCTTTTTAGGAGATAGTGACAAGACGTTGACGACGACAACAGTCCCAACAATAACAACAAAACATATTGTTAAAACATTTACATTTAGGCGACGATAAATCAATACAATTACAAAATTATTCGCTCTGTTTACACTTTTTTGTTCAAAATTTGTTTTTTTGTAAGAAAGTTCTTAGAACTTGAAAAAGAAAAAAAAGCCACACCACCTGCAACAGACAACAAAACCCCCCTCACATCCACATTATATTGCATATATATACACTGATTCTTTTTTTTTAATTATAATTAGTATTGAACTAGGAGAATATTTTATTTAATATAACGAAAGAAAAAAAGAAGGAATTAATGAAAGTAAAAACACCCCACATACTACCATTCACCACTTAACTAGAATTTTGTTTTAAGTTCGCATACATACATACAGACGAGCTACAGAATAGGCATTTAATTTTTTTTAATTTTGCCTTTTGCAGCTAATAGTAATCATTGTGTTGTCACCCTGTCATAAGCATTTACCATCAACTTCTAATTGCATACATTACATTTTATTTATTTTTTGAAATGGACGGACGTTACTCGAAAATCAATCATTTGGAATTTTCGTTAAATGAAAACTGATGTTTTGAAAGAATAAAATTTGTCATGGAGATAATCATTCAAGAAATTTTAGACACAGAATTTGCCATGTCATGTCATAACATACAATCTCATTATTTTCATTATTGTAAGGTTCTGTGTCTGTCTCTTGAATTTAAAAAAAATATTCGAATCGAATGTTTTTTTTAAATTATCATAAAATAATTTTGTCCTTTAATTGAATTGCTGCAATTCAAAAAACATTTCGAAATGATAAAAAGTAAATAATTTCTATTTTTTGTTTTAAAAGAGATTGAGACTTAATAAAAAAATATATTTGTAATAATGACGATAAGTCGACGTAAATATCATAACCAAATCATTTAAGGACTTGACATTTTCTTTCACCTAGAAATACCGAGCGATTTTCAGTGAAGGTTTGGACAATTTCTATATCCAGCGAACTACAGAAATGCCACAAATTGAATTGAATTTCATAAAAGTATTAACGATTTTCATTAAAAATTGGATGTGGGAGAGCTAAACTTGTTATTCCTTTGAAGCTGAATATCGCACAAATTGTATTCTTATTTTTTTTCATTACAAATGTTCCATAACCGTCAATTTCCAAACTTCCCTGCTTTTTTCTACATTCATATCCACCAGCAGTAGTAGTCATCCACAAAAAAGTCTCCAATGTTATTTTGTAGCAGAATAAAACAGGATTTTTTTTTTAAATGCAAATGAATGGTTCTCTTTTAAGATGCCTAAGCCTAAGAAGAAAATAAACACAAAATCCAATCTTAAATATGAAAAAACAAAGAATTGAATTTGATGAAATTGTCTTATGTTTTGTGACAAAACACAACAACATCAACAAATAAATACATTAACTCTTAGATTTATAGCCTCAGATAACAGAAAACAACCAACCACTGAAGTTAATATTAAAAAAACAAAACAAAATTTTACGTTTACATAGGAAAAAAGTATATATATTTAATTGTTAATACCAATATAAAATAAACGAAAGTAACAAAAATACATTTTCGCAACATAGGCTAAGTTTAAATTTATAACAAGAAGTAAAACAAAAACAACTCAAATTAAGATTTATATTCGTTTTTTGTAGAGCTAATTTAATTGTTAAAAAATATTTGTTTCATCACAACAACAACAAAAATATACATATATAAAAAATGAAAAATATTTGTAATTGAAAAGTAAGCAGCTCATTTAAAGAGTGCCACCATATATTTAAACCAAAACCCCAACCGCTGCCCAAAAAAAAGAAAAAAAACAACAAATATGTTGGTCTGGTACCTTTGTTTTCCATGAAAGAAAAAAAATTAAAACATATTTTAATTTTTTTTCATTACATTAAGTTTTTATTCAATGCACTCTATCTTTCACTTTGGCACCCCAACTTATTGTTTAAGCAATTTAAAAATAGAAATACAAAATCTGAAACTATTTTTATAATTTTTACATACATTTTTACACACATAGTTTAGTTTATTATTCATTTCTTTAGCAATATCCACCACCCCCCAAAAACACCCACCACCATTACAAATAGAAATTTTAAATGTACAATAAACTCAAATATTTTTTATTTTAATTATTATTACACCTTAAAACTTAAGTTATTAAAAAAATCATTTATAAATTCCTAGATTTTCCTTCTTTAATTTATTACCTTTTGAGTTTGTAACATTTTATTACGAATAAAACAAACAACCATTTATTACTATTTATGAAAACATAAAAATAAATATAATTTTTAATCTATTTCACAGCAACAAATGATGGATAGAAAATTATTATTTTTTGCATATTTTTATAGTAAAATACAACAAACTCAAGATACAGGTGATTAAATGAAAGAAACCAACCATCATTGTTATACATACTTTTTGATTCTTTCTTCTTCTTTTCCCTTCTTTTTTTAGCCCAAATTTTTAGTTGTCAATTCTGATTTTCTTTTGTAGTATATTCAAACATACAAAAAACAATGCGTTTTTGTAATATCGTACAGAGCAAATCTCTGTAATACTGTAGATTAATTAATTAATGATAAAACCTTCTTGTTTTCTTCAACCCCCAAAAATGTTTTTAAGTTCAAATTTCTTTGCTAATTTTAAGCACAAATAAACAAATGATTTAAAACATAAAAAAAAACAAAAACTACAACATTATTAAACTAAAACTGAAAAAAACGAATATATTTAATAATAAAAATACACAGAACAAAACAACAAAAATTTAAATGATTTTTATAGATTCATAATGGGACAAAATAAGTAAATAGGTCAATGAAAGTTGGATCTATGCAGTAGAAAATAGCAGTGAAGTAATGAACCATTGTTGGCAACAGATATATTGATGACATATAGTTGATCATGTAAGATATTTTATCCACACTTTTCGTAACTTGGATTACTACTGTATCCCCAGATTTTGGGTGTAACGTTCGACAGTCTTTTCTAGTCGTCTGCCACTACTGTTATATCCACTCTGGCCGGCAGCACTTGGGACGTTGACAACTAGAGACCTTGTTGATCTCATATAGAACAGTAGGTTGATCTGAGGTAAGCTATACAGCGCCAGTGTGGTTTGTATGTGCTACTTATTTACTTAGCTGACTTGTCACAGAACATTTGTTCCATAAGCCGAACTTAAAAAAGACCAATATGAAAGACCATGTTCCAAAATGTTCTCTTCCACTTGATTTTCCATCTAATTCGTGGCCTTACCCTTCTGCGTGAACCATCAGTAGGCCTGCTTTTATATGCCTTTTGGGCTGGGCATCCTCATTCATTCGCACAACATGGCCTAGCCACCATAGTCCCTGCAGTTCGATACGACAGACTATGTCGATGTCATCGTATAGATTGTAAAACTCGTGGTTCATTCATCGGTCCGTAGATCTTTCGGAGAATTTTTCTCTCAAACACTCCATCTGCTTGCGCAAGTACCCATGCTTCAGATCCATACAACAGTACGGGTAATATCAGCGTCTTGTAGAGCGAGAGTTTGGTCTGGCGAGAGGTGACTATCTTTCTCCCAATTTCAAAACTGATGTCATTACTTTTGTTTATGTCGTTACGGAGATATATAAAATCGTTCACTACCTCGAAGATGTAGTTTTCCACAGTTGTTCCGAGTCTACTGGACGTATTGCGCGTTGATACCATCAGCTTGGTCTTCTCGCTATTTACTGCCAGTCCCACTTTAGCGGTCTTCTTCTCAATTCGTTCAAAGGAGCCTGTTACCGCTTGCAATGTTTGACCCATTATGTCGATGTCGTCGGCATAGGCGAGTAACATGCTGTTAGGTGTATAGAGTGCCATTTCTGTTCACATTTCCATCGCATTTCCTGTAAGGCAATAATATCGGTTTTGTACTTCCTGAGTACATTCGCCAAAGCGAAAACTGCGCTCGTTCTGTACAACATGCGCACATTCCAATTGCAAATTCTTAGATCGTGGTACTTTATACATTTGTGGCGGTCGTCAATATTGAGGGATTTGATTTTCTTTTTCGTTGCTTTTTCATAGTAGGAGGGGTTTTCCGAGTGTGGGCAACTAACCCGACTCCTCAACCAATTTTTTATAGTTCTTATCGGTGCACATTCCAATTGCAAATTCTTAGATCGTGGTACTTTATACATTTGTGGCGGTCGTCAATATTGATGGATTTGATTTTCTTTTTCGTTGCTTTTTCATAGTACGAGGGGTTTTCCGAGTGTGGGCAACTAACCCGACTCCTCAACCCATTTTTTTTTAGTTCTTATCGGTGAACTCCCGGCACATTTCAGCTCACTATTTCAATGGAAGATGAGAATAGCTACCCCAGGTGACACCGAAGGGAGATCGGTGTCCACAATTGAGTTGAAAGAGGGACCAAGATAAGCCTGGGCTTTGCCATGTTGAAGTCAATCAGAACAGTTGTTTGGTATCTATCATGCCCTACGCCACCATTTTGGAAAAATTCAGGTGGCAAATTATGACAGTCGATATCGAGTGAGTTTTTATTCGATAATAAATTTCGATACGATCATATGTACTACATGACAACATCCGATCTGAATTGTTTCATAAAAATTATCAAAAAACATATTTCTCTGTTATATGATAGATCCAAACGAACATTGGCAAGACAAATTTTGGAAGGAGTTTCAAAAACACTCCTATTCTATGTACACCAAATATATTCAGCGCAATAGTCTGATCTCAATTTGGCCACATAAGGTCAAAATATTAAATTGTGTTTTTCCATATAAAATTTTCCATAGTTTACACACAAGGTTCCCTTGAAATGTCCTAAAAGGAATTTGGCTCAAACGTGCATACAATATTTATACATTTATTATCAATTTGGGAACAAACTTCTTTGTGTGCGGGAAAATCGTTTACTGTATAATTTACCATTTAATAAAAAAGACACAACTCTGTTTTCATTTTTCTACAGCTTTTTATCAGAAAAAAGCAGTCTTCATTTATTAACAAAATAATAATAAAAAATCAAAAGAATTGCTATAAGATGTATAAAAAGATTTAACATAAATCCATATATATATAGACGACAACAATTGTTATGCTAATAAAAAATTGTTTGTTTTCAACAAACTATGGAAGAAATGAGAAAGGCAATATTAAAAAAAAAAACATAATAATAAACTAATTGTGCGTGAAGTTACAAATGAAATCTAAAAAAACAATTGCAATTATTTTATCACTCAAATTATTACACTATTTTAAATAAATAGTAATTGGTAATATTCTGTTACTTAAACAAAAATTATTGGTTACATTTAGTTCTCTTAAAAACAAATTACAAATCAAATAAAAAAGCTAGTAGTACTCAATTCAGCAGGAATGTTGTTAATCATTTAACATTATTGGTTTTCTTGTTATTGTTACGTTTGTTGTTGTTTTTGTTTTCTCGAATTATTCTAAGTACAAAGATTCAAAACTATGACCGTTAACTGGCAATTGCTTACATTTAAATCTGTGTACATTGTTGTGTTTAGCAGCAAAAAAGGCAAATATGTTTTTTATAAAAAAATGCAATAACAAATTTGTTTTTTGACTATACATATACAAAAATAATTTGCTAGTCCATCAGTGTTTGTGAGTGTTAGGTAAATTTGGAGTCGGTCGTTCGGTTTCTTTACAACTATTGTACATACAAAAAAATTTGTTCGTTCTAAGTTTTCTCCAAGTTCTGTTCCACATAAAAGCATATAAAAAACTATATTTGTTTTATCTTTAGTTTTATCTAGAATAGGTTTCAGTTTTCTCTAGAGCGTCCAATGCCATTAGAAATGTGCGGCGTTTGAGAACAACATTTACGCCTTTAGTTGGGGTGTAACACCAAAGTTTAGACGCAATTGTTCCAAAAAGACAAAGGTTATAATTGTGTGTGGACCCAAGCGTACGAAAGCTGGAATATAACCCTTGAAGAAGCCAAGAGGTCCCAAACGAGCGGTGAACTTGACAATATCCCACAGTCCTTTGAACTCTCCGGGTTTGGCATTCATAGAACGTGTCTTCAAAACATCCAGGGGTTGGGTGAGGGTTGTTGCAATGGCACCAGCCGCCAACGATGCTGTGAAATGTGTCGCCAAGTTATCTTGGAAGTGTGGTGTGGCCAAAAGCATTGATTTAATCTGTAAAAAATAGAAAATAAATAATTAAGATCTGGTATGTATTTTGGGAAAGATGATACTAGACCAAGTCTAATATTTTACAAATATGTATGGAGTCAAAAACTGTGGGATTTGAATTTACTCATAACAGGTTAAAATAATTCATTTAATTTCGGCATACAGTTCCGATATGGCTAAGGGTGAAAGGATATCAAAAATGCTACTACTAAGACCAAATATTTCAAAATTGTACAAATGTGTTCATAAGATGAAAATAACAAGAATTGTATTTGAAAATATGAAATTTTGAGGTTGAGGTCCACTGTTTTGACATGCTTAAAGATTCGTCGTTCTAGTAATTATTTTTGTAAAGAGAATAAAAAATTATTTTAGATCAAATATTTTAAAATTCCACAAATGTGTTTATAAGGCGAATATACACGTATTCGAATCTGAATATATGCTTTAAAAATATGAATTTGGTATTCTAATATTCTATAAATGTTCGGAAGTCCAATATGGTCGGATTTGATTTTGGCCATACAAGGTTCAAATATTGAATTTGGTCAACAGAAATGTATCTAAGAGAATTGGATATATTAACAATTATTGTAAAGGGCTCTACAAATACTTCTAGACCAAGTATTTTAAAATTCTAAAAGTATATTCTCAAGGTATGGTTCAAATATTGAATTTGGTCGGCATTAATGTATCTAAAATAAGTCGTTATATTAATCATTATTGTAAAGGGCATTACAAATACTTCTGGAGCAAGTATTTAAAAATTCTAAAAGTATATTCCCAAGGTATGTCAATCAGGAGACAATGCTGTATTCTACACCTCGAGAAGCAATTAAGCCTACCAATAAAAATTTAATATTTATTAATTATTAACAATTGGAGAGACAATTTTATGTGTGAAAAAGAAAGGATATGGCCATTTTGACTGATTGACATCCAATTCCCATAACTTCAAAATCTTCTTGTAGAGCCCTTATTTTGTCCAAAAACTTACCTGATCATAGAAAGCAATTTGACCAATGGTCATCAAAACACCTCTACCAGTAGCTGTTGTGGCACCGGAGAACAAACGTTTGAATCCCTCTTGACGATAGACCTTAATGAGCCCATCAACTGCATTTTTATAACTGTAATTATATAACACACACATTCATTAATAAACAAATTCCAATTTAAGTCGACAAATGGACTCACTTTCTCCTTTGCTCAGCTGGCAATTTAACATCATTTTGCATACGGACATTAACCATATCCGCTGGAGTTCCAACAATACCACCAAAACAGCCCGACAAACTGGCCAATGTAATTTTACCCATGAACGTATCTGTGTTAATATGTTGCTTGCCCACCTCATAGATACCGAAACGAGTCATTGAGTATGTCATTTGACGTAAAACGGAAGCGGATAGACCATTATACAAGGCCAGGACACCTTGTTCACGTACAACTTTGGCTGTTAGTTGCACCACGGACAATTTGCCTTGTTGTGTTTGCAAGGCTACCTTTACCAAATCCAAAGGATGTGTACAGCAGGCTGCACCAGCACTGGCCAAACCACCAAAATACCAACGTCCCAAACGTTTAGATTTATCCTCGACAGCAATAGCCATTTTTTATTGTTTGTAAATATTGAGTATATTCAAAATTATATAAAAAGTCCTCGGGCTGTAAATAAATAAAAAAAGTAAAATTATTATTCCTATTCGGAAGATGGTTAGAGAAACAATGTGACCATGATTGCTCAAATGCTCTGCGAATGTGATGATGCAAATTCATTAAATGATGTGTTTATGTGGGTATCTGACGTCACTTGTGGATATGAGAAATCGAAAACCTAAACACGTCATCATTACCAGCATTGTTGGCCACATCCCCACATTACCCGACATAATCACATCAAGTGCTATTGAATAGTACTACAGTCTATGTATGTAATGTGTGAGTATTTGTATTCTAATACACAATTCAATAAGGACACACATGGAGGTATGATAAACACGTTTTATTGCACCAAGGAAACGACATCGTATGACAATCGCACTCCACATTTCTAGTTCTATGACACTTACTATGTAGGTTGCTGGTGCTGGAGAAATCCTTTTGGACGGACTTGTATGGGCGGATTATAGATTATATTATATATACATTTTTGCGGCAGACATTTTTTTGGAATGTATAATTTAGGTTATATTTCTTCGGGGGGGGAAAATGCCTGCGGTGCCAATTTATCTATTAAAGGACTGGGAACAACTCTAGTTTAGTAAAAACGATCAAATTTTTCTGAAATTTTTTCCAGAGGTAGGTATTTTTACCCTAATTATGGGGATATCTTTTTTTCTTGGGGGACGTACCCGGTTACCCGGTTATTTGACCCGGAAGTTCGGGTACGGGTACCCGGTTATATCCGGTTCTACGGATCCGGTTAATATAATATGGGTATCATTTTAAAGGTTATAAAAATACCTTTCCATTGAGTGGTAATATGATGGGGTTATCTCAAACCATTTTGGGGATATAGTCAAAAAACTGGGTTTTGGTCCCCGATTTTTTTGAAAAACTCAGTAAAAGTCGAACTTGGGTCCATTATAGTCCCTCTCCAAACAGGACCCAAATGATAGACCACAATTTGCCCTTTCCAAAATGGTGCAATATGAGGCTGTATCTGTTGTGAATCAAAAGATATGGGCCTTAGAACCCTATAAAAACAAGGAAAATCTTTCTACATGACAGAATCTCCTTTTAAATAGCATGGTGTTTTTTGGGTGACCGGCCTTCGGCCGGGGATTCAAGACTTTCTCCTATGGACAGATGCCAACACCGGCTAACGCGGCAGAAACTCCTTCTAAATAGAATATTTTTTTGTGTAGCCGGCCTTCGGCCGGGAATTTAAGACTTTCTCCTATGGACAGATACCAACACCGGCTACGCGACAGAATCTCTTGTTAAATGGAATACTTTTTTGGGTGACCGGCCTTCGGCCAGGGATTTAAAACTTTCTCCTATGGACAGATGCCAACACCGGCTAACGCGGCAGAAAATCCTTCTAAATAGAATATTTTTTTGTGTAGCCGGCCTTCGGCCGGGGATTTAAGACTTTCTCCTATGGACAGATACCAACACCGGCTACGCGACAGAATCTCTTGTTAAATGGAATATTTTTCTGGGTGACCGGCCTTCGGCCGGGGATTTAAGACTTTCACCTATGGACAGATGCCAACACCGGCTAACGCGACAGAAAATCCTTCTAAATAGAATATTTTTTGTGTAGCCGGCCTTCGGCCAGGGATTTAAGGCTTTCTCCTATGGACAGATATCAACACCGGCTACGCGACAGAATCTCTTGTTAAATGGAATATTTTTTGGGTGACGGGCCTTCGGCCGGGGATTTACGACTTTCACCTATGGACAGATGCCAACACCGGCTAACGCGGCAGAAAATCCTTCTAAATAGAATATTTTTTGTGTAGCCGGCCTTCGGCCGGGGATTTAAGACTTTCTCCTATGGACAGATACCAACACCGGCTACGCGACAGAATCTCTTGTTAAATAGAATATTTTTTTGGGTGACCGGCCTTCGGCCGGGGATTTATGACTTTCACCTATGGACAGATGCCAACACCGGCTAACGCGGCAGAAAATCCTTCTAAATAGAATATTTTTTGTGTAGCCGGGCTTCGGCCGGGGATTTAAGACTTTCTCCTATGGACAGATACCAACACCGGCTACGCGACAGAATTTTCTTGTTTTTGTAGGGTTCTAAGGCCCATATCTTTTGATCCACAACAGATACAGCCACATATCGCACCATTTTGGAAAGGGCAATTGTGGTCTGGGTTGGAGAGGGACTATAATGGGCCCAAGTTCGACTTTTAGGGAGTTTTTCAAAAAAATCGGGGACCAAAACCCAGTTTTTTGACTATATCTCCAAAATGGTTTGAGATAACTCCATCATATTACCACTCAATGGAAAGGTATTTTTATAACCTTTAAAATGATACCCATATTATTTTAACCGGATCCGTAGAACCGGATATAACCGGGTACCCGTACCCGAACTTCCGGGTCAAATAACCGGGTAACCGGGTACGTCCCCCAAGAAAAAAAGATATCCCCATAATTAGGGTAAAAATACCTACCTCTGGAAAAATTTTCAGAAAAATCTGATCGTTTTTACTAAACTAGAGTTAAGCCAAGGACTGTTGTTGGTTTTGTATGTAGGAACTTTTTTTAACTTTTAATTTTGCATGACAATTTTTGTAGGGTTTGAATATTGATAGTAAATTAATTCAAGTGGTTTTAAACCACCGACCCCAAAATGCCGAAAAAAAATATTTGCCAATCTTCTCCTACAAATGTACAGCTAGCTACGGACGAATTACAATTACAATTGAATTCAAGGAAATCATAACATAAACAACAACAAGTATGTTTTATAAATGATGACAACTGTAATAACCGTCTTTTGTTATTTGGTGATTTTTTTGAAAATATTTTGTAATGAACTCAATTTTGAAACGATGTCAGTTATTATTATGATAGTAGACAACATTGCTGTTATCATATTATAGTGAGTATCAGTGTGTATGGCTGTGTTACCAACTCACGGTGAGTGCCTAGCAACAGTTGTCAAACATATTTGCAAAAACATATGTTTTTCTTGTTTATTCGCGTTATTGTCGGTGGAGATTTGCTTGTGAATTTTTTTTTTGGCCGGAATAATTGGAAAAATACTGCATTTTCATCAATAAAATAGGGTGAGTGAGCATATAAATTAAGAGTTTTTAATCGTGTTTTTATATTTCACAACATTATTTGATGATAATAATTGTAAACGCTGGTTTAAGAATATGGTTGGTTATGGGCCGTTCCATGCCGCATAAAATTGTAAACACAAGGAAGCGAATGTTGTTTTTAGATTTGCGAGACAAATGGTATACAATGGAACAAATGTAGCTTCTAATCCGGTAATGTAAATATTAAAATTGTACATATTTTTCAGCTTCAAAGCGATAATCACATTGATTTTGGCTTATATTTCCTTTAAGGTCACCTCTCAGAAGCCCAGAAATTTTTGCTATAGGTATCACTTAGTATCCTGATCACTCATATCTCGGGAAATGTATACTTCCCGAGATATTAGGTTTCAATGTTCTAAAAATGACCCAATTTTGACAACTTTTAATTCACAAATTTGCCTTTTTTGGCCACCTCTCAGAATAATCTGAATTTATACCATAGGTAGGCCTTTTGTTTCCTGATGTCAACAACAGAACTTCTAATCCGGTAATTTTATTGTTAAAATTGGTACATATATATTTTTCTGTTTCAAAGTGATAATCACATTGAGTTTTAGTAGTGTTTTAAACGGAAACTTCTCGAGACATTTATAGAAATGAAATCAAAACCGCACTATGATACCCATATTAACCACATTCAAAACTAAGGTACCTACAGAAGAACATATTTCGCGAATTACATTTCGGGGAAAAATAGGCAGAAGAACATATGCACATACATGTATCATTGTTGTTAGGACCTCAAGTGGCAATTGTAGTAACATTTAAAAAATGATCTACGACAAATCAGGAAACTGTATTACAATTCTTTCAATCTAATTATCCCAAAGGGATGCAGCAACAAGTTGACTGATGGCATTTATGCTTATATTTATGGATGTGTATTGTGGTTTTACAGTTGTTATTCTAAAAAACTTGAATCTGTCCTTGGAATACAGTTGAATCACTCCTCCCTTATGAAAATCATTTAAAACGTATTAATCTTCCTACACTAGAACGAAGACGCCTAATGCTAAGATCTATATTTTTAATAAGGCTTTTACGCGATCAAATTACTCGAAATCTTTAATCGGTGAAATCAAGTTTAATGTACCTTCACGTCTTACTTGTAATTAGATACCGCTTTATCTTCATTTAGTGAGATCTAATTATGAGTTAACAACCTGTATAATCATATCTCTTTATCTGATCCAGTACATGTAATTAAAAATTCTATTCTACATTTAGAACTATAGAGTGCAAGCAGTTGCCAGATTTTAATGTTTGTGTGTGTCCTTATTGTTGTGTTTAATTAGATTTAAATTGTATAATTGGCTGATGTTTACTGTAGCCGAGGTTTCCCAACATTACTAACCCTCCATAATCCGGGTTATGGGGTGTACGTTCTCCCTACGTTATGAGGTCGGCAGGGGCGGGTAAGAGTGGTGTGGGAACGATCAAAAAAAGAAAAAAAACATGTAAGGATGTATAACTTTCCAGGACATCGATTGTTTTTTTTTATCGTTTGAAGGTCCCCGGAAAATGTTCCTAAAATATATAAAGTAAATTGTGGTGACTAATCTGAATTTTGTTAATAGCACATCAGATCAAGGTCGAAGATGGACCTGCACTGATACTCTGTCACAAAGTATAGATGTTAACTACCACACTCCGTCTAAAAAGATGGCATCTCTGTTTGGACCTATGACGAACTTAACATTAAGTAACAGAATGATCCTGATATTTAGTTCTTAAAAGCCCTCATAATTCTTCGGGAAATCGCTGTAGGAGAACGAAGCCGACTTCACAAATCACATTTGCTTTAAGGTAGGCATAAA